GAATCCCATCCCACAGAATCCCATCCCACAGAATCCCATCCCACAGAATCCCACCCCATCCTGCTGCATCCCAGCTCCATCCCCAGGGCCAGCCCGTGCCCTTGACCCAGTCCAGAGGCACGAGCGTGTCCCGGTGCCGTCGGGTTAATGGATTCCAATCCGTGGGCTCGAGGAGGAGGTAATTTCTTTTCTTTCATGTCTGCTAAATACGGTTCCTCAAAGAGGCATAATTTCTAATGTTCCGCATGACGGGAATTCTAACCGGGTTAGCAATGATCAGCTTCCCATTTACTCCTGTGTAATCTCTCCCTAACGACATTAAAAAATAAAAAAAAAAAAAAAATAAAATAAAATAAAAGTGGGGAGGGGAGGGTTGGTGGTGGGGGGAAGAGAGACAGACGGAGTTGTGGCCGCAGTTATTGCGCCGGTGACATTTTACGGGGGAGAAGAGAGAGGGGGGAAATGGTAATTTAATATAGATAAAAGGAACAAATTAAGTGGGCTGAAAACAGCTGCTTTAGGAAAAAGAGGAGGAATGATAAGGCACAGGAGCGTGGCCGTGGCTCCGGTGAGGGCGGCAGGGTTGGGGTCGCGCTGCCTCCTTTGGGGTTGGGTTCGGGTTTTATCCCAGCACCTGCTGCCAGCACTGCCGGGTTAATTTTGCTCTCCCCCCTCCTGCCCCTACAGATGCTCTGGAGGTGGAAATTCCCTGCCAGGAACCCTCGTCCTGCAGCCAGCACCGGAGTTTCCTCCAGAGCACGCCAGGCAGTTCAGGGGTCAGGTTTGGGTGAGAAACAGAGCCCAGATTTGGGAGAGCACAGGGATACATGGGAGAGCACAGGAATTACATTTGAGAACTCAGGTGTACACAGGAGAGCACAGGAATAGATGGGAAAGCATGGGAATATGTGTGAGAACATGGGAATTACATGTGAGAACTCAGGTGTACATGGGAGAGCACAGGAATTACATGTGAGAACATGAGAATTACATGTGAGAGCTCAGATGAACATGGAGAGCACAGGAATTACACGAGAGCACACAAATACAAAGGAGAGCACAGGAATATATAGGATATCATAGGAATTACACGTGAGAGAATGGGAATTGCATGTAAGAGCATGGAATAGATGGGAGAGCACAGGAATTGCACATGAGAGCATGGAATACATGGGAGAGCACGGGAATTAGATGGGAGAGCACGGGAATATATGTGGGAATTACATGTGAATTATATGTGAGAGCTCAGCTGCACATGGGAGAGCACAGAAATTGTACACCAGAGCACAGAAATACACAGGAGAGTGTTAGAACTTTGGAAACAAAACAAAAAAAAAATTAAAAGAGAGAGCAGAGGAATAGACGGGAGAGCACAGGAATTACATGGGAGAGCATGGAATACGTGGGACAGCTCAGGAATTACACACAAGAGCACAGGAACTCATGGGAGAGCACGGGAATATAAGTGAGACAATGGGAACACACGTGAGAGCATGGAATATGTGGGAGAGCACAGGAATTACATGTGAGAGCATGGAAATACATGTGAAAGGATGGGAATGAGCACAGGAATTACATGTGAGAGCATGGGAATTGCATGTAAGAGCATGGAATACACAGGAAATACATGGAATTACACGAGAGCACAGAAATACCTAGAAGAGTTTGGGAATGGATGGGAAAGCTCAGAAATTACACAAGAGCATGGAAATATATGTGAGAGAATGAGAATTACATGTGAGAGCTCAGGAATTACACATGAGAGCATGGAAATACATGTGAGAGGATGGGAATGACCACAGGAATTACATGTGAGACCACGGGAGTATTTTTGAGGAGTATTTTTCAGGAATATTTTTGAGGAATATTTTTGAGGAATACACAGGAGATCATGGGAGCAGTGTCCAGGGCTGGGGCCATTCCCACTGGGATCAGACCAGTGCCTCTGGCCAGTCCTGGTCACTCTCACACCTAGAGCTGTGACTCAGCCCCAGTTTCTATGGGATGTTTACCCTGAGCTGGACACTCCGCAATTTTAGTGGAGGATTCTGCAACATTTTGGCAAACCACGGCAGCAGGACACCCCCGGGACACCCCAAACCCCTCCCCACCCACACTCACAGATGTAGTAATACTCGTGGCCGGGTCTGAACTCGAAACCCAGCGAGAAGGGGGTGAAGAGCTGGAACTTCTCGGAGAATTTGAGGGGCCCGTTGGGGGAGTCGGGGCGATTGCACTCCCAGCGTTTGAAGCCGCGCTGCCGGTGGTCGCAGGAGGCGTGGCCCTCGTAGTTGACCATGTAGAGGATGTACCTCTCCATGCGCTCCGGCAGAGGCTCCTCGTAGTGCGGGCAGTAGATGTCCAGGTAGTCGTTGATGCTCACCTCCACCGTGTAGTCCCCGCGGTGGAACCTGCGGAGGGAGTGGGTCAGGGGGGTTATAAATGGAGTTCGAGATGGTTTGGGGACGCCCCCGTGGAACCCACGCAGAGGTTTGGGGTTGGGAGGGACCTTAAACACCTCGTGGGTGTTCTGTTCTGGGCTGGAACTCTGCCGAAGTTTTGGGACTGTAAAAGGAATGAGCTGAGGAGAGTGATAGACCCAGCTGATCCTGGACTATCAGAGCTGAGTGACCACAGCACCATGGAATCCCAGCATGGTTTGGGTGGGAAGGATCTTAAAGCCCATCCAGCCCCCCCTGCCATGGGCACGGATGTGGTCACTGTGCTGCAAAGAGAGAGAAAGGACAGCAACACACACGGAGCTCTTTGGGGAAAAAAGGCCAATTTATTGTACAGACAGCCCGGATTTAAAGTGTATCAGTGCAGCCAGGACAGGACAAGAGCTCATTGGACAATTGGGAAAAACATCCTTGGGACAGCACCTCAGGATGTGTCCCACGGGAAAGACACCAGGGGTTAATGTTGGTGATGAATTCCACTCTGTTTGTCACCATGTTGTCACCCTGGGAGACTCCTCCCTAACTGAAGCTGCAGTCAGCTTGTCAGCCTGGGAATGGAGCTGAGAGTCAGGAGAAATCCAGGCCTGAAAAGAATTCCCAAGCTGGAATTCCCCAGCTCTCTAAATGTGTGTGTCCACACACGGACACCTTCCACTGTCCCAGGCTGCTCCAAACCCTGCCCAGCCTGGCCTTGGACACTCCCAGGGATGGAGCAGCCACAATTTCTCTGTGGGCCTCACTTCTCTGTGATCCAAGCCCTGATCCAACCCCATTAACCTCCAGATTAACTCAGATTCTCTTTGTTTCATGCCAGCGAACCGGCACCATTTGGCAGAAAACCACACAGAAATGCTGATTCCCGGCGGCGCCGCAATCCCGGTGTCAGTGGTGTTCCTGGCACGGTTTATCAGAGAGATTAAGGGATTAGCAGCACTGGAGAACTCCGTGGCACATGCCAGACACCCCCCCTCCAGCTCCTTGGGTCGGCCCCTGTGACCCCCTCCCCAAAATTCCAGCACCACAGTTGGTGGAGCTCAAGGCCAAATTCGCAGCTTGGCTTCCCCTCCTCGCTGAGTGAGGTTTTTTTCCGAATTAATTTAAAGTTCACCCCAAAACCTCATCACAGGGCTCACCCCACAGCTCCAGGGTTTGGCTGGAGGGGTCAGCACAGCCTTGGTGGGCTTTGGACAGTGACCACAAACCCCCTGAACATCCCAAAGCAGCATCTCAGGGCTCCCAAAACCCCCCGAGGTTTTGGCAGCTGCTGAGACGGCTTCAGCTCATCCAGGAACACCCCAAAAATGCATCCCCATCCCTGCAGCGGGAGATGTGACCCCCAAAAAAGGAAGAGGGGGGGAAGAAAGGAGGAGGTGTGGGGAGGGAGGGGGGTCCTGCAGCCCCCCCCCCCAGCTCATTACCTGCCTCATAAGCTCTCTGATCACACAGGGAACGCGCTAATTAAGGAGCAGGGTTTCTCCCTCTCCTTCCCTCTCCTTTCCCGAGCCAGTTGTGCCAACCCTGCCCCTGGCAAGGTAACATTGGAAAATGTAAAATTAATACAAAGGGCTGGAATTTACTGGGAAACAATTTTCAAACGCACGGAGAACAATAAAAAATATTTAAAGAAAAAACCAACAAAAAAACCTTCTTCTCGCTGCCTTTTATTTTAAAAAAAAATTATTTATTTTAATGATCGTTACTAAAGCCCAAGCAATGGCGGGGGGGGGGGCCCACATATCAGGGGAATAATAATAGTAATAATAATTATATTTTGGGGAAAAATCACTTCGAGGGTCTTCACCTGCCTGACAAATTGCTGAATTAAAGCTGATTAAAGCTGATTAATGGCCCAGACGGAGACGGGTGTGGGGGAGTTGTGGGGAAGAGGGAACCCTCCTTTGGGTGAGGGGGTTTGTGGGGACCCCCAATGGTGCACCCCACTCTGCACGGGGTCCTGGGCTCCCACACTGCATCCCAGTCTGATGCCATGGGATGGGGATGATGAGATGGGATGAGGATGATGAGATGGGATGGGGATTGGGGATGATGCCAGCACCAGAGCCATGGGGTTGGGACGATGCCACGGGACGGGGATGATGTCATGGGACAGGGATGATGTCATGGGACAGGGATGATGTCATGGGATTGGGATGGTGCCATGGGATGGGGATGACGTCATGGGATTGGGATGGTGCCATGGGACAGGGATGATGTCATGGGATGGGGATGATGTCATGGGACAGGGGTGATGCCATGGGATTGGGATGGTGCCATGGGACAGGGATGATGCCATGGGATTGGGATGATGAGATGGGATGGGGATGATGGGATGGGGATCATGGGATGGGGATGATGCCATGGGATGAGGATGATGAGATGGGATGGGGATGATGCCATGGGATGAGGATGATGAGATGGGATGGGGATGATGGGATGGGTTGGGGATGATGCCATGGGATAGGGATGATGCCATGGGGATGATGCCATGGGATGAGGATGATGACATGGGATGGGGACAATGCCACCACCAGGGATGTACCCCAGGACAACCCACAGCCTGGCAGCACACCCTGCATGGACACCCCAGCTCTGGAGCTCCACACTCCCACCCTTCAGCACTGTGGGGCCCCAGCACAGGACATGTCACCCACCCAGCCTGGCTCCACCAGGTTTGGGAGTTAATCAACAACTTCCCAGCACTGTGACACCTTTCCACAACAGGAGCAAGAATCCATCAGAGGGAAATTGTCCAGAATTGAAATCTCGGAGCTGGTGAAGCCCCTCTGGCATTATCCAACCCCTGTGTCCCCACACCACGCTGGAAACACATTGGCTTCCCAAATTTTTACCTCTTGGATATTCACCGTGGAGGGGAAAAACCCTTCTGAGAGGAGAGGCACCTGCAGATGGAGACCCCTGGTACTGGCAGGAGAGCAAATCCCACACCCAAACCCTGGTCCTGGTCCCCCAAACACAGCCAGTGCCTCAGTTTCCCCTCTGAGCTGCAGCAGCATCCTCCCAAAATTCCCAAATTCGGGCAGCGACCCAGTACAGGAACAAAGCAGATTTGTCTCTCTACACCCTGCGAGACCAGCCAGTGTCCCAAGGGTTAAATAATTCAGATTTTTCTTTCCTGAACAGCTTGAAAAGAGATATGATTGCGCCCGCTGGAATACGGGGAGGGGGGGGATATTATGGATGGAAAAGAGCTATTTAAGCTGAGGAACGGTGTTGGCACATAAACAAATGGGTATAAACCGGCCATGAATAAATTGAGGCTGGAAATTAGGAGGTTTGGAACCACTGGGGGCCAGGCAGGGCTCATGGGGGCAGAGGGGTGAGGGGGGGACTGGAGCAGGGGGGCCAGGTATGGGGTCCCCCCCTCTCCAAGGGCACCCGTCCTTGCGGGGCCAGGCGCTGAGAGACTTAAAATCTCCCTTCCGCTTTCATCTCCCGAAATCTCCTTCATTCAAATAGTCACAGCGTGATCAGGAGTAATAAGCCTATTACAGAGCAAAATAAAACACAGCAGCTCCCCCCCCACCCGCTCCCCCAAAGCCAGCCCCCCCCCTCCCAGCCCTCCCGCCCTCTTTGGGGCTATTAAACACAACCCGATGGAAATTCAGCTGTGGAGCAGCCAATGTCACCCCCCCACAGCTCCCACAGCCCTGCAAGGTGTCCCCCCCCTCAGGAAATGGGGACAAAGCGGCTCTCGGAGCCGGGGGGGGTGGGAGGGAAGGGCCCCCGGGGTGTAGGCGCCCACCGACCCCTTCCAGTGGCTCCTTTCTGCATTAATCCTGTTGCTCGGCTGGTTCCTGGCATGTCCGTGGCCGGCAATGGACTTCACGCCGGGAACGTTTAAGCCGCTTTTCCATCTGTTTCTCCTTCTCCTTGGGCAGCCGGAATCGCTGCCGAGCCCGAGCCCAGCGTCACCCGCGGGATGACAACGAGCAGCGCTGGGCAGGAGCAGGACGCGGCCATCGGGGGGAATTTGGGCCGTGTGCCGGTCCCAGTGTCCCGCAGCATGGTCCCTGTTCCCTGCTCAAGAGGTAAAAGCCACGGACGGAGCTGGGAGGGGATGGAGCCGGAGCTGGATGCACCTCGACACCTGTGCCCACCCAGTTTCGGTTCAACAGGTTCGGCCACCCCACATCGCATCCCACTGCCCCATCCCACCACCCCACCAGCTGATTTTAACCGTGTTCCCAAATATTTTCCATGCTGGAGAGCGAGCGTCCCCTGCACCGACACCTCCCAAACTCCCTTCAGGCGGTGCCGGAGGATCCCAGCATCCCACCATGGCCAAGCCCTGGCGCTGGCAGGGATGAGATGACATTCAGGGGACGCCCCGTCCCCATCGACCCCAACCCCCGGGATGGTGGCAGTGACGAGTCCCAGTCCCCGGAGGCTCCGGCGTTGTCCCCAGACGCGGTGGGACAGAGCGGGGACGGCGTCGTGGCTCACGGAGCGCCGGTAATGCGGTCCGGAGGGACCCCGCCGTACACACAGCACCTAAATTATTTAATTTCTCCAAACTGCTGCACCTTTATAAATCATTAAAAGCTCCTTTTGATCTGTGTTAATGAGGTTTCCTGAGTGCGGGGCTGGGAAATGCTTCGGCGCCAGAAAGCGACGCCGCTGATTAAAAAAATAAAGAGGGGGCGACCAGGAGCGTGGGGGGCGGGACGGGCACGGGGAGGGGTGGGGGGCACGGGGAGGTGGGCACGGGGCGGGGGGCACAGGGGCTCTCCAGGGCCCAGCCAGGCACTGGAGGGGCTTTAGGGATGCCTGTCGTGTTTATGTTCTTTCCTTTCCCTTTCTCTTTCCCCTCCCTTCCCTTCTCTTTCAGTTTCCCTTTCCTTTCTAGTTTTCTCTCTTCCCCTTTTTCTTTCCTTTCTCCTTTCCCGGAGCTTTCCAGCCAGGGAATCTCGGGAACGGAACACGCTGGTCCCAGCTGCCACCACGCTCCTGGGAAATGCCAACCAAACCATGGGCAGGGCCGGGGCCGTTGGTCCTCCTGGTGCTCTGGGGAACAATTCCCTCTTTGGAGAGCAGTGGGATGGGATGAAACCCCCCAGGGATGTCACTGGGAGCCACGGCCAGCGGGAGTGTCCTGTTCCAGCGGTGCCACCATCGGTGACCCCGTCGGTGACACCGTGGGAGCGCCGCGGCGCCGGCCCTGACAGCTTTAATGCCGATATTTATCTCAGCTCCGAACCTCCGAGCCCGGCTCCATATTCAGGAGCTCAATCACCGGGATCGGGAATGGCGAGGGCAGCTGGGTCTGGGCTTAACATCGGCCGAGAGCGCCGGAGAGCTCAGGGGTGGGGACAGGGATGGGACAGGGATGGGACAGGGGTGGGGACGGGGATTGGGACAGGGGTGGGGATGGGGATAGACACAAGGACAGGGATGGAGATAAGAATGTGGACATAGACAGGGATGGGGACAGAGATAAGGAAAGGGATGGGTACAGGGATGGGAATGGGGACAGAGGGGTGGGGACAGGGGTGGCAGGGGATATAGCAGGGACAGGGATGGAGATGGGGATGGAGATAAAAACTGGGATAAGGATGGGACTGGGGACAGTGATAGAGACAGGGATGGAGTGGGGATGGGATAGGGACAGAGACAAGGACAGCGATAGGGCTGGAGATGGGCACAGGGATGGGGATGAGGACTGGGGCAGGCACTGTGGGTAATGAAAACAAATTCCATGCAGAACCAGGGGGCCACTTCCCCTGCCCTGGCATCCCTGGAGCTGCTCAGGGACCAGCACTGCCCCAGCTGGAGCAGGGGAGCAGCTCCCCCAGCCCAGCTCAGCCCGGCGCTGCCGGAGCTCACACCTTCATTGACGGATATTTCCCTTTCCCTCCTTTTAAGGTAAATGACAGAAAATCCCAGGACAGCCATCAGCCTCCGAGGTAACCTCGTCCCGCCTCGGCCGCGTTCCCACAGGATTCAGCGGCTCCTGTTACCTGGGGCAACGGCGGGGAAATGACGGCTGGCATCTAAATTGCCATCATTATGCTCCAGAGCCAACACTCCCCATTTACACTTTATTGTCATCTTTCGCTTTAGGGAGATGCTGAGATATTACAGGATGGGGTGACAGAGCGGGATGAGATGGGATGCACGAGGAGAGAGGCGCGGAGATAAATGGGGACCCCCGGAGCTGTTATTTCAGCCTGATTGCGGATCCGGAAGCGGAGCCGAGTCCGATCCCGCAGGCTGTGGGGAGGCTTTAATGCACAGAAGAAAATAAAATTTGTTTAAATGCAAGCGCCAGCCTGGCGGGGCCTGGGCACGTGGTCCCTGGGAGAGGATTCCCACCAAAGCCGTGCCGAAAACGCTGCGGAAGCAGCTCGGCCTCCTCCGGCTGCGGGGATGCTCATGAAATAATGGGAACTGATCCTCACCCACAGCTGGTACTGGGATGTGGCTGGCACCCCATTGTGGGGCTGGCACCCCATTGTGGGCTAGTACCCCACTGCACCCCTGGCACCCCTTTGTGGTACCTCAATATAGCCCCTGTACCCCTTCGTGGGGCTGGCACCCCATTGTGGGGCTAGTACCCCTTTGTGGGGCTGGTATCCCAATATTTGACAGGTATCCCATTGTGGGGCTGGCACCCACTGCACCCCTGGCACCCCTTTGTGGGGCTGGTATCTCAATACAGCCCCAGTACTCCATTGTAGGGCTGACATCACATTGTGGGGCTGGCACCCCATTGCACCCCTGACACCCCTTTGTGGGGCTGATACCCCAATATTGGACAGGTGTTCCATTGTGGGGTTGGCACCTCATTCCATCTCCTGCACCCCACTGCATCCTATTCCAGGGATGGCACCCCACAGCAAGGCTGGTATCCCATTGTGAAGCTGGCACCCCATTCCAGGGCTTGCACCCCACCCCATTTCCTGCACCCCACGGCATCCCTGCGCCCCATTCCAGGGCTGGCACCCCATTGTAGGGCCATTCCAAGGATACTCCTGGGCACCCCAAAGCAAAATCAGCTCTTGGTTCTCCAAACTCCAAGTTCATTCTCTCTCCCCATCTCACTTTTTGCCAATCTGCACAAAGGAAATGCAAACCAAACTTGGGGTGTCATCCCCCCATCCCCACATGGGGACTGCAGTGAGACAGGGCTGGGGGAGCTGCTGGGGACAGCAGGGGAGGAATGAGGCCTTTCAAGTGTTTGCAGTGAAAAAAAAAAGAGAGAAAAAAGCAAAGAGTTCAAAAACTGAGCAGCTTTCCAAGGAAGAGCCAGGGCAGCTTCGCCCTCAGCCCCACTGCACGGGGTTGGGATTGGGAAATTCCTTCCCAAACACCTCCCTGAGCAGGCCCTGGAGTTTGGGATAAACCCAAACCACAGCCACGACCCCATGGATGCACTGAGAGCTGGGAGTTCCACACGACCCAGCACGACACAGACAAGGCCGGGTGGATGGATCCTGCCATGATGCCAAGCATGGATCAGACAGGTTTTTCCCTCAGACTCATGACATCACCCTCTTGTCCAGAAAAAAAACACAGGTGTCAGTCAGAAATCGTGGTTTTGACATGCAAATATTCATTTTTCCACGTGCCACAGCCTATCCAGGGGGATGAACCCACTCCCCAGGCAGGTGGAGCCTCTTTTCGGGGAGCTCTACCCTCACCCCACAACCAAAGCTCCCTGGAAACGCTCCAGCTGCTGCAATTCCCACCACTCACCCCTCATTAGCATGGATGCTCGTTAGCCCAGCGCTGAGACTAATCAATACTGCCATTAACCGACTCCCTGGAATTAATGCGCTTGAACCTGGCAGGCCGCGGGATATTGGTCATTTTTCCACTTAACCTGGCAGGAGGAGTTTTTCCCTTTGCTGGTGGCAGTGGATGACGGAGGGAAGCTGGGACAGCTCATCCCTACAGCTCCTGGCTGCCGGTTCACCACCAGCTTTGGGTTCACCACCGCTTTTTGGTCATCCCAAGGTTTTGGGATGCTCACAAACCTCAGGGAGCACCTGAGGAAGGGGAAGGGCAGCTCTGTCCTAAGCCATGGGGTTGGACACCCTGGAGAGGGCTCTGGGGACACCCAGATCGTGACCCTCTGGTGTCACTCTATTCCTGCAGCTGCTCCATCCTTTCTGCCCCAGGTTCCTGGCCCTGGAGTCCTGGGCAGGCACAGCCGAGCTGCTCTCCCGGGCACCCCAGAGCCACCCTCCCCTGCTGCTCCCGCCGCCTCGCAGCGCCTCTGGCTAAACAGAGATCAGAAATGTTAGATCTTTCTTAACATCTCCTGCCAGCACTGTCAGTGGCCCTCTCCAGAGTACCAGGGCCCTCTGTTATGTAAACACAGCACATTCTCTGTCAAAGATTAAAAAAAAAAAAGCCTCATTTGCACATAAAAGCAGCCTCTGCACTAGTTACGGGCACTGTGGCATGTAAGGAAGACTGTAGGTTAAATTCAATAATAAAGTGGGGCAGCACAGAGGTCCTGCTCCAGCTCCTTCTCCTGCAGCCCAGCCCTGGCTGCTCTGGCCGGACCTGTGGCCACCAAACGGCGCTGGCCACGAGTCCCTGGGATGGGGACTGAGGAGGCACCGTGAGCCCTGGGCTGGGCTGTGGGTGAGTGACCCCCAGGCCCCTCACTGCACCGTGCCAGGCCACCCTGAGACCCCACCCTGGTGCCCCTCTGTGGCACCCCAGACTCCATCATCCCCATCTCCTCCCCTTGGGACCCCATCCAGAGCGGGGCCTGCTGCCCCACATCCCTCCCCACACATTTTTGGGAGCTGGCACCACCCTCACACCCCAGCACAGCTCTGCCATCCCCACGGAGCAGCTCCCAGCTACAGAGGCACCACTCAGATCATGAATGTGACACCGCGGATGCGACATCCCTCGCTGCCAGCCCTCGGTGACGCGGTGCCCATTGTGGTGGGATGGCACCGGGGGGTCTCCAGCCATGGATGCCCCTCCCTGGGAGTGCCAGAAGCTCCGGGGATGGCGGCAGCCAGCCGGACCCGCAGCCGGATCCGCACAAATCGAATCAGAGCAGAAACTCAACTGCCAGAGAGACGAGGGCTGGGAAGTGTCACGGTAATCGTGTTAGTGCCAGCAGAGCCACGGCTGCTCCGGGAGCCGGGGGCACAGCGAGGTGGGCACGGTGGGATGGGCACAGCAGGGTGGCACAGAGCAATGGGCACACAAGGGTGGCCACAACAGGGTGGCCGTGATGGGATGGGCATGGCAGTGCCAGCACAGGGGCTCGCTGGACACCCAGATCAGGCCCTGTGGGAGGAGTGAGGGCCCAAGAGGGATCAGAAGGGGCAGAGCCAGGTGGCAGGAGGGGTCACAATGGCGGCTGACAGAGAAGGTGACAGGGCTCCGGAGGGAGGTGATTCATTCCCACATCACTGCGTGCCACACATGTCCCCACGGCCATCAACCTGGAACATGTAACCCCACAGGCACCAGCCTGGCACACACGACCCCACAAACACCAGCCTGGCGTGGGTCAGGTGGGTCAATGGGTGTCTCCATTGACACCAGGCTGGCACTCGTGTCCCCACAAACATCAGGCTGGCACACATGACCCCACAGACATCAACCTGGCACATGTGACCCCACAGACCAGGCTGGAGCATGTGACCCTATAGACATTAGGCTGGCATGTATGACCCCAAAGACACCAGTCTGGCATACATGGCCACACAGACACCAGCCTGGCATGGGTCAGGTGGGTCAATGGGTGCCCCCACAGACATCAGGCTGGCACACATGACCCCACAGACACCAGCCTGGCATGTATGACCCCAAAGATACCAGTCTGGCACACATGACCTCATGGACATCAGGCTGGCCACAAACACCAGCCTGGCGTGGGTCAGGTGGGTCAATGGGTGCCCCCATTGATACCAGGCTGGCACTTGTGTCCCCACAGACACCAGGCTGGCACTTGTGTCCCCAGAGACCTCAGGCTGGCACACAAGACCCCACAGACATCAGGCTGGCATGGGTCAGGTGGGTCAATGGGTGTCTCCATTGACACCAGGCTGGCACTTGTGACCCTACAGGCGCCAGCCTGGCACACATGACCCCACAAACACCAGCCTGGCGTGGGTCAGGTGGGTCAATGGGTGCCCCCATTGACACCAGCCTGGCACACACGACCCCACAGGCACCAGGTTGGCACACATGACCCCACAAACACCAGCCTGGCGTGGGTCAGGTGGGTCAATAGGTGTCTCCAGTGACACCAGGCTGGCACTCGTGTCCCCACAGGCACCAGGCTGGCACTTGTGACCCCACAAACACCAGGCTGGCGCCCGTGTCCCCGTGCTCACTCAGCCCTGTGCACACCAGCCCCGCTCACGTCCCCGCTGCCGTCGGGTGCCGCTCGTCTCTGGCAGCCAGCCGCCGGGCACGTGCCAGCCGTGCACGGGACCACGCGTGCTCATCCGTGGCTCACGCTGAGCGCCCTAATTACCGCGTCTGGCCAGGCGGGCGGGCGCTGATAACGGGCACGGGACGGAGCTGCTGGGGGTTATCAGCCGGTGACAGCCGGGCCCCCCGCCGCCCGCGCCGGCTCCGCGCTGGGACAGCCGGATCAAGGCGCCCTTTGGGGGTCTCCAGCGGGGGATGGGGTAAACTCCCCCCCCCCCCCCCCCCCCAAGGGCTGACCTCATTAGCACGGCTGAGCCCCGACGTCGTTGTGGCTGGGCCTGGCATCCTGGTGCAGGATGTGGGGTCATTTCTTGTCCCATCTGTTGTCACCTCCCCGCTGTCCTAGGCGTGAGGGAGACCCTTTCCTGGGGCGCCCACCCTGCCAGTCCCACTGTCACCGGGCTGGAGGGAGATTTTGGGTGTCCCTGGTGCTGTGAGGGGTGGAGTGGCAGCAGGAAAGGGCACTGAGGAGACAGATCAGTGTCACACTCCGGTCTCTGAGCCAAACCAGTCGCTGTCCTGGAGCTCCCCAGAGCCATTCCATTGGTCTCATCCCAGAGCCACAACCGGGACATGACACAGTTCTGCGTGGTATCCACTGCTTCCGTGCCTCAGTTTCCCTGCCCCAGGGCTAG